CCGAACGGCGTACAATCCTATGAACTGGACACCGGCCCCAATGGACTGCAGTTTTCACACACAGTCCCGCAATCTTACGAATCAGGCTTTAGCTAGTAGGAGGCTCCGGCTGTAAATGCCCAAAAACATTCACCTGCCCTGGCCTGGTCAACCCGATAACATTCCGCCGACATGCAAATGACGAAATTTTTTTACTTTTTAAAAGATTACTGTGCCGTGATTTGTTTGGCACAGTCTGTAATCCGACGTGTGCGAAATATATTAATAGACTCAGCGTTCCGGTAAATCAGGTGGAGCCAACATATGCTATCATGAAGACAACTTGCTACACCTCGCCCGTGATAACTGAGAGTTCTATTGAATTTGGTTTTTTAAATCAACTTATTCTTACTTATTCATATCATCAGATTTGACGTCGCTATCTCATCTTCCTAAGCTGTCTGCAAATAATATTTTGATTATACACACTATATGCAGCTTTGTTGGATAAGAATCAACAGACTCAAGAACCGTATTAGTGGTCTTTGTGTTACGGATCCAGCATCTTGGTGTTCAGTTCCTCACAGACAATTAGAGCGAAAGCGTTCCATCTTCAGCCGAGGTGACAGCCAGAACGCGATAGTCTGGCGCTGGCACATGAATTCTCATTAGCTCATATTGGTAGCTGAGTGACCGCATCAAAGGGAGAATCTTATAGATTTGTTCCAAGTTATCATCATCTGTTTGTTCGTCACCATTATCACCGAACTGTGAATAACTATGAAGTGGAATTCTCTGATCGCTGCCAAGTGCATACCGTATGCGGGGGGAATTGTGAAGTGGATAGGGAGCAAACGTGCGGCTGTGGAACGAATCACCGTGGTCAACACAATGACTATTGAATCTAATTGTGCAAACACGCCTCTCAAAGAGTTCTAGTCTGATAACAAAGGAAAACAAGGACGCCAATGCTGGCGGCTAGCCATGTTCTTCAGTGTTTCTAATCAATCACAACTGTGCATTGGATGCCTACATTTTGAGTCCATATGAGGTATTCTGCAGCATTAAATACTGAACGAGAATCGAAAAATGAGGCATTCTTTACAAACACCACTGTAGGTTTCCAAAGATCTGTTTCGGTCGTCGTGGCCCTTTGCATTAGTAAGAGTTTGCGAATACAGTGATCTTGATAGGCTTACATACTTCTGGGACATTCCTTTGCGAAGAAGCGAAGTTATTACGATTCAACAGTCAACTAAGTCGAAGACTCATCCTGGTCGTCGATGTAGGCGGTGTAACTGGAGAACTTATACCAACGAGAAGATTTAGTCAACGCAACCGCACCCTGGCCGGAATCCTGTTTGCTGTTCGCGAATATCCGTTGGGCGACAATTAGAACTCAATTCATCCCACTGCGGTTTGCGCAATAGTTAAATAATCCCAACTCGATGACTGATTATGATTATTTTTCACCAATACTGAAAGAAGACAAATATCGCGAGATGTTAATATTTCGTCTGATCTCCGCAATCACTGAAGCGAAGCAAACAGGCACACACGTAGCATACTGAGTTGATCAAGTATGGAGAACAAACGTGTGCAAGCAAATAAAGATTATTCAAAGGTCAACTCCAGGGTAAGTGGGTTGATTCTATCAGAACGTTTGTGCACATCAAGTCGGGTGATTTAAGCGAATAAGCAACACTTCACCAATTTGAAAAAGTTTAGCTTCATGTTTACGCAACAGTGATCCGAAAGACGGATTAGGGTCAAGTGTGCATCTTGTCATGAGAGATTTGGCAACATATTTCCCCAGGATTTCTTGTGGTCGCTTGGTCATCAGATATTAGTCGCGTCGTCGACTTCGCATCCCGGCTTGGGACAACGGGATAAATCTAAAAGTTAGTTAGATATACGGAGTGGCGATCACCAATTTAGCCTACCTGAATTTTCTATCTCCATCTTCGTACAACTTTAAGTTATCTACTTTTTGGTCCTACTCTTTTAACCAAGACCGCGCGCGAAGGTGAAATGTTAATGGTTCTACAAACTGAAACTGAGGAGCAAACAATCGTGTTGGAACAGTTGCACCAAGCTTTTTAACCTTTTGGTTTCCCTTCTCCCTGTTCTATAAATGATGGTGTTTCTCATACTGGACAACTTTACGCGTACCCAGTGCAACCATGAAGTCTTCGGGCAATGCCATATAGATTCTCTTGTCTATTTATTTAGAACAATTTGGGAAAAACGGATCGGCTGACACTTGATGAGATCATCAATGAGAGAACACTCGAAATCCAGTGCGTCTGTTCCACGAATTGCTCAGAGTTGTAGTGACCAAGCGATTCATTCAAACCTACGTCAACGAATAAGAGAAAAATATGAAAGATGCTTCTAGGGAGAATCGAAATCATAGCACGGTGTAAATAATTACAAAGTCGGACATGTCAAGCTGTTGTGAGATTGTTCAGCTACGAAAAGTCCCAACAACCACGGAGGTTACAAATATTTGTTAGGTGATGTTTATGGAAACAATGGAATTTCGGGGAGCGTACACGTTTTGGGTACCATCGAAAGGGAAAATATCAGACAAGTTTGTAACAAAAAACAAGCAAAAAAGTTGGCAGTGGTTGTTTTGATGGCAGGATCATGGAATACATGCTGGTTACCCATAGAGTTCATACATAGGTCCTTAGAGTTAGTGAAAGCGCAGAGTAAGCATTTCGAGTTGCCTTGAGCACACATGACCGATCCTATAAGCTCCTGCAGGACGATTGAATAATTCATTCCAATTATATCCGTCTTCTGTCAGTCATAACGCGAATTATCGAGCCCGCCTTGCCACGGGCATGAACCTGAAAGAGATCAGAACAGATTATTGTTTTATTAACTTATGTTCATCCAATTTACAGCTGTCGATGCTGCATATTTCTCAGTCTTTCAGCCTTTTGATGATCCACTTAACAATTTTTGTCACAATAATTGACGACCTAGGCGTGCGGTTTTCCACTGGTACTATCAAACCCAGGGAGTGATCAAAGATTGCTTCAGCTGATACGCGACGGTGATGGTCGTCGCACCACGATAAGTGGTGATGAAATGAAACAGAACATTTACCCTATATCGGAAAGGCTTGATTTCCGAAAAAAGGAAGATAAGGAATGTAGATTTTCAGTGATCATCCTTCAAACTTAACTTTCCCGTACAATCTGTTTAGTGCTTATGAGGTATCACCATTATTATATTTCAGTATTTCAGTTTTTACAACCATTAGCCATGCAGTTTCGTGCGCCGGTTTTGGTTGCAGTCTTTTGTCCGCCCATCTGGATAGAAGAGCAGAATGAAGATTGGAATGTTGAGAGCAAATTCAAGCGGATTCTAGATAATTCAAACAGACTGATGTTGCAAGAACACCTGTCTGAGTTCCGATTGTGTGAAAAACAATTCGGGGTAGAATAAGCTTTATGACAAAGAAGAAAACAATATGATGGCAATGAAGCACGTTTTCAGTTATTCGTATTCATGCCACGATTTGCAGGTGCTCGTGAGAGGTGCCTAAGTATGCATCTCTTCGAGATTAGAACTCGTATCTGGGACTTCGGGTTGATAATTCTGAAGTAGTGAGTACACGCTATGTTAGTTAGGAAAAACCTGTAATGTGGGTCATAATATTAAATTGTTTCCATTTTGAGCTTTCATGATTCAAATGCACAAGTAACTATTGCTATTAGTTTTAAAAACAAACATGGATTACTAGAAACAAAGCTTTACACTATTATATTTCACTTTGTGCTGTCGATGAAAACTTCAAATCAGTGATTCCAGAAAGAGACCCTAATAAATTTCAAAAACAAAGAACCCACCTTTTCATGCCAGGTCAGAAGCATAGCACTGTTCCCATCCTGAGCATTTTCAAATCCACGGTAGATGTACTTCATCAAAAGATCAATTTTTTCCGAGTCCAAACTGGCCACAAACTCATCAATATTTGCTGGTTTGATCTGCGCTAACAAACGCATTACGAGGCGGAAAGCCAGATCTTTCAGAGCTTGATCTTTAGAATTGATTGGGGCGTTCTGTAGAACATGCATCAGGCCTTCGGCCGGCTTCCCCCTCTCCATTGAACTTTTTACCTCAGCTTCATTCAATCGGATCGGAGTTGTCTCTTCAGTTTGCTCGTCCCGAAATGTGGATTCTGTGTATAAGTCCACATCAACCTTGCGGAATTCTGTGTTTCCTGTGTTAGCAGTCATTCAAATGAGGGCAGTACCTGTGGGAAAAGATAAACGATTACCTGCGAAAACACATAGGGTGAAATTTATCGAGTTATTTGAGCTTTTCGAAAGCCACCTAAACTCAGGTAACCAAGTATTTCCTCTACTCTGTAGGCATCAAACCCAGAGAAATCGCAGACTTAAATTGAAAACGAACCGAACTAGGACCAGACTCCTTTATTGAGAGTGTATTGAAAGACTCGATGAAGCTACTTCCGGAGCTGGTAACAGTCACGACAGTTATAGGCTGGAAACAATAATTAAATGGAGCCTGGGTTGAATTTATGTGAATAATTGAGCCACAGTGCATGGAAGTACGAACTTTCTTGCTTTTATGCGGCTTAATCTTATTTGAGGATCAGTGGGTTTCACTGATGTCTCCGAAGACGGCTGCCCTTGAGCGGCGTTCAATGCAGAGTGAAAATAAGTCCTGATTTCAGCTTCGGAAGCCATAAACGGCTTACAGATCCAAATGCTTCACATCTTCCTTGACTGTGTTGATTCAGCTTTTTAAAGGAACATCGAGATGGCTGTCATCCTAAACACGGCGGTGAGAAGAGACCTCTTCTCAAGTCTTCCTCTGCCGGACACTGGAAAATACGACTGAACGACAGGAGATGATCGTGTAGTATTAATGCAGAAATAATCATCATTATCTTACAGCGAGATACAGTGAAACGAACTTCACTGCTCGCTGCCAAGCTCGCAATGCACACAAGGTTAGTGGTAAAATTCAAGGTGGAAAGGGATTGGACCTATTTTGAGGGAGGGGGACATACGATGAGTCTTGTAAACAGCAGGCGTTTGGGATCATTCGGGATTGACAGGAAGAACTAGACAGATACGAAGTAGGGTTTTCCGAATGGGTGCCTAAGGCTTTACGGCACGATATACTTCACGGTAGACCACACCGACGGAGGGGTTTTCGGGGAACCTTAACCGAAGCCTTTGACTCAAAAGTCTGACCCACAAGGCAGTGGGGCATAAATCCAAAGCGGGAGCGTGAACGGAGCACCCGGGCGGGAGCTTCTGGAGACCTGTCATGCAAGGCCTTTGGAATTCGGTTAAGTTTGCTGTTCGCTGGTGCGTTGATTGTCGGTCCGCTTTTCGGGATCGGCCCTTAGCCTCATGCACTAAATGAGACAACCGGAACGTGGACGGGACAGCACTTTATTGGCTGACGGCTGCCCAGCTTGGGTGGGCGTCAGCTGTCCAGTGAAGCACGAAGACTTCTCCCACCGTCGAGAGGAAACTCCAGGTACCCCGCTCCTACGTCCATCTAGTGGGGAGGGGGGTTAACCGGTAAACCGCCCCTCACCGTGTTTATTTGTTGGAGTGACCTCTCCAGGGGCGGGTGTGAATAGTCAAAGGAAGCCAGGAGATGCCCAGGCAGCTGGCCTTGTGAGAGTGATCTTCCTCTAGTCTCTACCCATTGACCTTTCAGACATAGTTGGATCTGCGGCTGAGGAGCCATTCTGCATAGCTCGCAGGGTCACGGAGGCACACCACGTCAAGGTGCAGTCTCGTCGGACAGAGAAGGTGAACCTTTACGATCAACACCCAGGGTGCACAGCCTATCTGTGCATACATACCATTTTAAGCATTCTGACATGATAAGAAATAGCAACAAGAGCCCAGTGCTGTCGATTCGCTGCCAGATCCTTCAATGCTTCCAACCAACCAGTTGCAGCGTTTTCCGGAATGCAACTTGAAAGATGTATGTTATATTATTCACGCACGCCTGAGTTCAGACTGTGTGCCAAACAAATCATGATAGAATAATCTTTATGGAAAGATTTGCATGCGGGGCGAATACTGCCAGGTTGTCACGGCCAAAACAGGTGAATTTTCTTGGGGAATCCACAAGCGCTTACTTCGGCCAGCCAAAGCTTGACCCGTAAGGCAGCGGGGCTGTGTGAGAAAATGGCAATCCTTTGGAAGCCGATGTCCAGTTCATCGGATCATACGCCTTTCGGACGGGGTCAAACGTCACTCCCCATCTCAACTGGGCAAATACTCCCAGTTAATGCCAGTCCTCCATCTGAAATGGAGGTTTCCCGGGAAATAAGCTACCTCGAAACGCATAAGCAATCCGGCTCAGTCGGGCTGTTCCCATCGGCTTTTAAGGATGGAAGCTCAGTCTTGGTTTCGAGGTTAACAAAACTGGGTTCAGTGAGAGAGAATAGATTCCAACCGAATGATGTGAATCGGTGATCATACCGATTTACAAGGAAAGTGACCGATTTTCTTGTGAAAACCACAGAGGAATTAATTTAACCAACATTGTCTCTAAACTTCTCGATGGCATCATATATATATTCAACACCGGCTTGTGAACAAGCATGGTGCCAACGCCAAAACCACGGGGACATCACATGACAAGATGATCCGCGTTGTCACTGAATAGTCTGAATGCGATTAATTAATCGTAGATTAGTGGTTTCCATTCTAACTGGGGCAAAAACAATCAGCGTCGTTTAGCTACCATCTATCTAGTGATTAATTATTGATATTTATATTACCTTGATCGATATGGTGTAATTGCTGAAAATACACCCATCTGGGTGCATGAAACTACTACTGACTTGACTTGAAACAATAATAACGATAACAATAAGGGGAGGGGAGGTTGCAATACAGAACGTAGGAAAAAAGACGGAACTTTTAAAATGAAAAATAACAAGTAAATGGAATGATAATTTTGTGGTTCACCGCACACTTTTTAAAAATTAGTTTGTGTTAGTTTGTCTTTTTATGAGGCACGGGATTTCGACAGACAAACCGTACAGCATTCGCGCCTTTAACTTCTATTCTGGACCATATCTCTCAGCGTCTCTAACCGACAATCCTCATCCTTTGGGACCCAGCCTGGAAGGCCGGCTGCACCAACCGAAGCCAGCTTCTTCATACCTCTACGCCATATCATAATCTGACCGACGCGGTGCTTCTTCCAGCCTTGCCCGGTAAGTATGAAGAGCGCATGATAAAGTAGTCGATGGGCAGGCATACGCAATACGCGACCAAGCCATCGGAGGCGGTGTAGAGCGATTATTTCTGCTAAAGAACGGCTATCTACACACGACGACGGATCTCGCCACTGCTCACCCGATGTTTGCTGGCATCATACTCCGTCGTTTTTCTGCAGCACGTGAACGATGCAAGCGTAAGAATCAGGATGGCTTTAAACCTGGTCGAGGTTGTATCCACCTTATCTTCACTCGCCGCCAAATTCTAGAGCATAAACACTCCTTTCGTAGACCCATCATTTCCATCTTCCTTCATCTGAAAGCGGCTTGCGACTCAGTTGACCGCTCTAAACTCTGATGCTGCTTTTCACTGAAAGGTGTGCACGAGAATTTTGTTTCAGTATTACGATAACTCCATACTAATAGCCGGAGCCGAGTGCGAGCTTACGGCACGTTTTCACCCGAGTTCACCACGGCAAGTAATGTTCGTCAGGGTTGTCATCTCTCTGTTTCTATTTACCTTTTTCATAGATTTGATTATGGAAACAGCTCTATCGTCGTGCGAGGATAGTGGCATCGATTTACTCCCAGGTGGCAGACTGTCTGATCTAGAGTATGCAGATAACATTGTGCTGCTAAGTGAAGATAAAGGTAAGTTGCAAGCTTTTCTGGACAGCTTGAATGCCACTGTAGCCATGTTTGGTATGCGTTTTGCGTTTTGTGTAAAATGTTACTTCAAGACTGGTTTGGTCCAGCACCCAGCCTCAATCTAACCGGGGAAGCAATAGAGCAAGTGGATAAGTTTTGTTTTTTGGGCAGCTACATCTCACCCGGTGGACGCATCACGGATGGAATGTCAGCTCGCATACAAAAGGCTCGGTTGGCATTTGCCGACTTGAGACATTTGTGGCGCCGTCGCGACATCCGGCTTTTTGTGAAGCGTCGAGTGTGCTGCAGCAGTTCGACCATTTCTATTAAACGGTGCAGAGACTTGGCCACTACTGGAACAGGATAAAAATAGACTGTTGGTGTTCGAACACCGCTGTTTACGCAGCATTGCACGAGTCTGGTGGGGTAACCGGACGATCAATGCTGAGGTTAGGCGCAGAGGTTTGAGTATCCGCGGTTGCCAACTAGAGCAAGTGATCGACCTCCATATATTACGTTTGTTGGGGCATGTGTTACGCATGTCACCAAATAGATTGCCACGGCGAGCGATATTTGTTTATGTAGGTAGCGGTTAGAAAAAGGTCAAGGGTGGTCAATCGAAGGAGTGGCATGAGGGTATGAAAACCCTAACCAGGAATCTGGGTTACATATGTCCTGTTAGGCTCCCTGGTTGGGGACCTCTGGATAATCGTACTCGATGGTTAGAGACACTGAATGATATGGCTTCATGTCGTGAACAGTGGCGTTCGTGCATCTTTTTAATTTCTCTGCAACATTATTTTACTAATATTTTCAATTTCATCTTTGATCTCTCTTTCAACTTTTCGTGTCTTCATCCAAATGGGCAGCCAAAAGACAGCAATCAAAACCGGCGCACGATAGTGCATGATTAATGGTTGGTTGTACAAACTGAACCCCCCTCCCCCATTGTGTACGGGGATTACTGTGGACGTGAGCCCGTCATTTTCGAGTCTTCCCTCCTTGATGGACATATCAAATAAGACAACTAGGGGTTCTATCACATTTCCAAGTGGTTTCGACATCACTGGATGGATTGCATCCGGTCCGATCGCTTTCGCAGCGACTAATTGTGAGACGCCGTTTAGTATTTAATCCGTGGATATTACTGTCTTCCATCTCTGATAAAGAGGATTACCAGGCACCGGAGGCCCTTTGGTTGGACTGTATGCGCTTCGGAAGAATTCAACTAATGCGATGGCCTTCTCCCTAGTGCATCCAACTGTGGTTCATTACTGCATCCACCGAGCCTCTCAACGTTGTCTCGGATTTAACGCACTTGTAGTACATCCTAGGGTTGCTCTTGGCATTATATGCAACCCTATC